TGAAACTGCTTTTATTTTTATGTCTGTTAGAAGAGTAAGACCATCACTTTTTTCATTCTTACAGCAGATGAACAACATGACTCCAAGACCATGATAAAAACTTTCCTTTGGGGATTCTCACTCACAATATTTTATGGCAAACAAGAAATTTGTGAGTATTTTCCTTGTAACTTTCCTTGCTGGTCCATGAAGACACATGTATTCCTCTGTGCAAGGGATACCTGGATGATGACCCAAAAAAAAGAAAACCATTGGCATGGATTACCATGCAACATTTAGAGCAATAAAGGACAGCAAACCTTCCTTCTTTGAAATGTACTAATCAATGTTAGCTACCATGCATCATAAAAATCCTCAAGCAGGAGAAAGAGTTTTTCTCCCAGCAGGAAAAATAATAAAACCATGCAGGATCAGCAACAATGGAAAGATCACCTATTGAAACAGTTTTTTAAATTGGCAGCCAGCTGATAAGTACTGCCCTTTCACCTGGCCCAGCTGGAGAATAGGAGAGCATAGTTTGCATTAATGAGATTTTCAGGACTAAAGTATCTAAGTAATTTTGACATAGAAAAACATAATTAAATGAACAAACAAATGACAAATAAGTAAACACATAAGTTTTCCTTGGTGTTTCCTTTTCAGTGTGAAATAAATTATTCCAATATACTATTTGCAGCATCAGGAGAGAAGAGGCAAGAAAAGGAGACAAATTCTTACAGCCCACTAGGATCAGTGCCCTGGTTATACATATGAACACTTTAAATCACACTCTACTTTCAAATCCCCATCTGACATATCAAGTAACCCAATGTCTACATCAAGTAGCCCAATGTCTACATTTTACTTACCCCACTAAAAGGCAGTGAAAACACTGAAAACACAGCCCTGTGCAAAATACATGGGAACAGATGCACACACAAGATATTCCCGCCCCTCCTTTCTCTTTTCCATATCCCTTAAAATAATTTAAAACCAGTTCAATTATTAAAAATAATCAGCAAACATCATCTTTTTCTCCTGTTTCTGTAACATGACTTTTTTTCAATAGTTATTATGAAGTGGTTTAAGAAACTTCTAAGGGCAGGTTTAGCTCAGAGAATGGTTTTGCTCAGGAGAAATGGCACATTCCATTACATCAAAAATGGTAGTGAGACCAAGATGTTTAGAAATTAACTGATAAAATGTACAAAAGGTATGAATGTCATAGGCCAAACCTGATTCACTGATTATACTGACAAAGCAAAATATACTCAAATATATACAAAATATATCATGCCCCCATACTCTCCTTTTGATCTGTCTATGTGAATACATCCAAGAGACAGAAGACTACATATGCTCAGGTTTGTGGAACTAATCCTACATTCTTTTATACATACCTGGTAATGTATACAAAAAATGCAATTTTCACTAAGGACTCATCCTCATTTTACTATTTTATCTGACTAAAAATAATGCAAGCTAAAATACATTTTTATTTAGACTCAGGTACATGGCATAGTAATTCATATATTTTCTCAGCAGATTCCTTTTTGCACTGCAAGGATTATTTCTATCAACATTTTTTTAGATTCAGCTTGAGTCATGTGGATGCCAACAACATAATTAGAATAAAATTGATACAATAACAACCCACATAGTGTCTGATTATATTTCAATAGCCTTTTTTTCCCTCTTAAACAAGCTTCTATTAGTAACATGAAACTGGAACATGCCTAGGGAAACAGGCACAGTGCTCTGCAGATGAGCTGGGGATTCTCAGAGAAATGCTGAAGTTTATAAACTGCAGAATGGAGAATCAATTTTGCTGCATGGAGAATACTTAATTACAGGAACATTTATGCCAAGAAAATGACATTCTGGAAACTCCATGAAAAACTGACACTGGCATCCCACTGAGAGGCTTTTTTTGCTTTCCATAAATAGACTGCTGGGCCCAGCTATTTATTGCCTGTGATACTATGAAAGGAGGAGCAGAGTGAAGGTTTGTGAGGGTATTCTGTAGGCTGCATTCATTGAGAAAGTAGAAAACACATGTACAACACTTAAAATGGCTCAAAGTCAGCAAAAAAGGCCTGGAGAATTTGCCAAGCACACAGATCTGTGAGCTGGAGAAACAGGTGAAAAGAAGGAGAGAGGACAAGGCACAAAGAAAAAATATTAAAGCTACCTTATAAACCTTATCAAAACTGGGGATCATGGAAGGCAATTACAAGGGCAGGAGGTTTTTTTGAGGTGATGTAAAGCAAGTCCTTTACAGAATGGATGCAAATGGATGCAAATGCACTTTTAAACTCAATCCCTGATAGCCCAAATAGCCCCTCAAACAGCCTGGCTGTGAAAGGATGCATGGCTACTACAGAGAAACAACTCCTTGCCCAAAGCCAGCTAAGCAGGCACAGCCCCTCTCTTATTCCCTCTCTATAAAGAAATTTGGGAAGCCTGGAGTCATTAGGCTGCCAGAGGTGGCATGACAAGGATACCAGAAGATTTAAGTTGAATTACTGTAGTGTCTCTAGTATATATAAGTATTGAGGAGGGAAGGAGATGGAGATGGAGATGACAGAAGATGGAATTAAAAAAACAATTCAAGTGACTCCCAAAACCAAGGGAGAGGGAATGAGAATCAAAAGGGAAACCACAGAGTGGAACCACATCCACCCAGGAGAAAGCACTAAAAGTAACAGTAAATAATAAGAGACCTTTCCTATACTTTCAAAGAATTTAATGTTTATTTTTTTCAAGACTGTAATAAACTTCTGCAAAACCCTTCATAATGTACTATCCTGAAACCCAGTACTAGAACAAAAATAGATCTTTTGAGAAATTAGGTCTGTGACACCTTCACTCATATGCAAGTTGGTACAAGACTCATGGAAGTAAGAAAATATAAGCATTGTATCAAGTACACCTAAGAACAAGTTAAAAAATAATATGCAAGGGCAGATTTTACAATCAAAGATTATTAGTCTAACTCAGCTAATGCGCTAATGAAAGATAATAAGCAAATTTTCTATATGATTGTACTTTGCTAAAATATAAGCAAAGGGAAAATATGATCAGCCTCAGGGGTTTAAGAAAACAGTTAATAAAAATCTAGTTAATTTTTTTTATTATGAAAACAAAACTATCTTTCTTAATGGTAAAGACACAGTACTCATTGTAATCAATTTTTATATAGCTTCTTTAAAGGAAAACTTATTGATGAAGATAAAATTTCATGCTCCTTAGCAGGCTGAAATTGGCTGATGATGGAAGCCACCGAATTCATTGCTTCAATTAATAAGCAATAAGTTAAGAGCAAAACTCTGCAAAAAATATTTCTAATCAGATTTTTTGCTTTGCTTGGTGGATAATTTTCAGATCACATTTCAAAGGAGACATTGTAATAAAAAACGGATTAAATTGAAATATTGTACAACTATTTAAAGCTGCAGAGCTCTAGCTCCTCTTAAATAATACTGACACAATGAAGCTGATGCCAGTGAGTGCTAATGTCAGGATTAAAATGTAGACTTTGTTTTCTTCTTGGCCCAACCATTGGAACACCACAGCTGTCAATCCCCAGCATATGAAATGCCCTGCCAGAGGAAGGAGCAGATCCTGTTCTGGGTACAAACCATGTCTGGAAAGGCTTCCAGGGGAGCACCAACCTCAGGGTCACCTCTGACTGCTGCCTCACTGCTAAAAGGAAATAATACAAGAGCACTTTCATTTACACAGCACAACCCAACTGGAAAAGTTTAAAAGATTAAAAGAACTCTTACTTCGTTAAGAAATTCATCTGAGAAAGATGAATCCAGAAGTTTCCTTGACAGTAATTAATCCCTTTTCAGCTTTGCATGCAGAAAGAATTAACTGGAATTTCATTACAATGCCTGTTATTTAATCAATTATGTTGGTAGAGAGGTTAAATTTACTACCAAGTGAGAATTAAAAGGAACTTAAAAGGGTGTAGGAGGAACTGCAATAATGAGATATTACAGCGCTCTTTATGCAAGCCTGAATTTGAAGAAACCATTCATGAAAACATTTTAGATTGCTACTAATTAATCAGATTGATACATATAGTCTCAAAACCACATCTGACAGCTAATGGTACTTCTCAAATAGCCTGATCCAAAGCCTATTGAAATCAAGAGAAAGATTGTCATTGACTTTGATTATGCCACACAAATGTAATTCCCGTAAGTATAGAGTGCCCAGTAAATGATCTGCATTACAACAATCATATTGTTATAACAATATTATTGCATGTTTCTAATGACTGGTCTATTATTTATAAGATGCCAAGCATTTGTTGAGCAGTCTATACATTTCAGAGACCCATTTTGAGGGCACAATGAAAAGTTGGTGAGAGCCTTTACACAGATTTTAATAACTAATTCCATGGGACTAATTTCAGCACAAGATGTCAAGCATGAATGAGAATGACAGAAGGCATTCCTCTGAGGCAAACATTATTTCTCCCATATTTTTATGAATGGTATTTAATTTTGTAGAAATAATAATTTCTTTCTCAAAGAAACCCACTCCATTTGGATCTCCTAATTTTTCTAAACACAGCCCCATGAAATAAATACAGAAATGTTCTGTACTGAGAGAAACTAAAGTGCTGGTAGAGGTGCAGAGTTCTAGGATTCACTTTGATTTGTCTTCTTTGTTGCTTTCCTTCATTCACCCTCCTTTTTCTCAATTTTGCACATAGAAACTTTTCCTTTCCTTATCCATAAATAATGGTGTTTCCCAGCAGAAAGTCATTATCTGACATTAACCTATTGAGAAATTGTATATTAAAATTTCTTTGTGTAAGGTGCATGTCTGGAATCATGATCAGCAACAAAACCAAATCAACCTACAGTATCCCTATTTAGTTCTATATTGGATATTTGTGGAAATTATCTGTCTGGTTTTTGGTAGTATGATAATTGGTCGTAATGATAAATTTTGTAATAGTGGTAAATTTTTACAGGTTTGGCAGATACTTCTAAACAATAAGACTCTTGGAAGTTACAGAGGAGCTCACACTGACAGGATTTCAGGAAGAAACTGTGCTCGTCTCTACCTGTAAGTAGAGAGGACAGTTACTGACATTTCTATAAGATGGATATTGGATAAAGCTTAAAATTATATAGAGCAATTAAAAAGCTGTAAAAATTGACCACTCCTATAGCACAAGAGGATTTTCAGGAGTTTGTTGCATTCCAGAATCTCCTATTTTCTAGCACCATACAGAACATCCTATCCACCTCCAAAAACAATAAGAAGGTAACTACAATGTGTTTACATAGCACTAACTCTGTTAATGTTATCATCTGAAAATGAACAAAATGAAAGGGACACTAAAAAGATAGTTAAACCTCAGAACAGAGTCAGTTTGCAGACATACACCTGGAATAATGAATCAACAACAAAATTATGGCTTAATATTTCATTCTTCCACCATTTCAATTTATTGCAGGCTCAGGTAGTTTTGCATTTCTATAGACAAAATGTTTTACAAGTGTCAGTCAGGCAGAAAGGTTGTCACAAGGATGGGGGAAGAACCTTTTTTTTAGTTTTTAATAATCAACAACCTCCCCAATGACCCAACACAATGGATTACTTAATTTACATATACAGCCTATAACTGTGGGACTGTCTCCTTTCTTTGTGTGTTCTTGCTGTTAGCAGTGGTTAACTGAAATTAAACTGTCATGAGCTTAACAGAAAATGTCATCTGACATGAAAAGAAATGTGCTGTTTCACTGGGGTGTGAAGCTGGAAACGCAATAGTGGTTGTCTGGTATTATTTTCCTAAGACAAAAAGAAAAAATAAGCAAACCTCTACCAATTTCTTTTTTTTTTTTTTTTCCTAGGCTGACATCATCTCCCTAATCCCTTGGCCTTTTTTCTGCTGAGAAGGTTTCTTCAGACCTATCACTAGAAAACAGTTTGAAATGAAGCCATAATTCAGTAACTTGTTCTCTGTTTCCATTTTGTTGCCAAGTGGTTCATGACTTTCCCAAATATCTCTGCTGTAAGCAATTTTTAATACAGCTTACCTAGTCAAACACTGCCAACTCCCAGCCACACACTGTGAAACAGTAGCAATTAAGCTGCCTCCTGAAGGCTATTCCTACCTGGAAGTTCAAGATGGAGCTGATTTGACATGCATGCTGACATCCCCTAATTGAAGTGGTTTTCCTGGAGAAGCTTAACACTTACTAAAAAAAAAAAAAAAAACAAAACCCTTTTGTCTCTCTTTCTCAACTATTTGTCAAAAAGAAGAATAGCAATTTTCTCATAAAGTTTATCCAGGGTAAAGGAAAATGGACCTGTCTGAGCAGCAGTATCTGAAAAAAGTTCTACATTCAAAAAGCATTTAAAAATATGAGAAACATGAACTCTGTATGTTCACCCACTCCAATCTCCCAGTTTTGTATGTTCCATAAAACAGGATCTTTTGGAACATTATATACTAAATACTATAAGTGGAGTGAAAGCTCCTTCTGCATGTGTAAGACTGAGTCTCTTGAAACATTAACATTTAAAGAAAATCAAGCAATATTTCTGCCAGTCTTGAGAAAACATATGTTACAGGAAAATTCAATGAAAGCACAAGAAATTTTTTTCTGTACATAACTGACCTCAAAATACAATAAAATAAATAAAAAAGCACACACCTTCATAGGGGAAGTTTAAACTGGAGGGGCTGAAGGCATCATTTCTCACATCGTTAGGAAAGAGTTCTGGCTTTCAGCCTCATTGCCAGTGATACAGGCAGCTGAAATGCTTCAGAATGGAATTCTGTTTTACTGGAATTATACAGGAGGCTTTGGTTGAACATTGCCATAATGTTAGTTTATTCTGTTTAGTCCTTACCCCCTTACTTCATTTTATTATTTCACTTTGTTTCTTTCATTCTCTTTTTTACACAAGTATTTTTTTACTGTGTGTGCTTCTTTTGCTCTCACCACTGCTCTTTTTATTCTATGACTTGCAGTGCTCAACATAATTAAGATAGCTAAATCAACATTACTAACCTACTCAAATGTTCTTGGCACAGTAACTATCATTTAAGATGTGTGTGTCCTACAAAGCTTTGAGCTTTTTTTATTCTGGAAGGTCACTTCAAAGTCATCTCAGAATTACTGGAGTGTTTATTGATCTCCTAATCATTCTCTGTTTGCAATTCTTCAGCTGCCTCTCTTTGTGCTATTTTGTTGTATTAGCTTAGCTATTTAATAAACAAAATAATATTTATAAAAAGAAGATTATAGAATCCCTAAGTTGTTCAAATGAAGACAACAGTTAATTTGCACTGAAATATGAGCATAGAGATAAAAGTAAGAAGCTGAAGTTTGATCTACATGGCTGTGCTCTACTAAACAAAAACAAAGCAAAGCAATAACAGCTTTTGGGTTTGAGTAACGTGGCTGCAAAGGTATGATTGCAGTCTAGAAATCTCAAGCTGTTTTTGCTAACTATATTATCCAGAACCATTTCGGACTTGGATTTGTTTTGCTTTTTGGGGCTTTTGTAGGTAATCCATGTTCTCCATAAAAACCCTCCTGATAATGAATTTAGAGACACCAAGAAAGAGAATATTTCTTTAGAAAGGCAATTTGCTATTGATCCTTAAAGGTATTTCTGCTGTGATAAAATACATTCAACAAAGTAAATTAGACCAGAATTAGATTCACAATGCAAATATTTCAAGTTTTTTAACTACAATTTACCATGTGGTTCAGACAGCTCAACCCTTCACTTTAAGAAGCCAAGATTCTGTGATGTAATACAGACAAGGTCTGGAGAGTAGTTATTTTAAAGATGCACCCAGTGACCCCACAAGTTAAAGTTAAAATAAATGTCTCTGACCTCATTTGAAGTCTCTGGCACACTGATAGCTATAACTTTTGCTGGCTCAGCAATCAATAAATATCATCCAGATTTTCAGTATTCCTCTAAAGGGAAAGAACACACCTTTCTGGTCCACCACAGCACCTTTACTACACGAGAAAGACAAGATATTTTACTTTAATTTTGCCAAACATTGTTCACTGCTGGCTTTGACTTCATTTGTACACCCCTTATTCAATACAAAGCTCATAGTAGGGCATGACCTAAAATTGCATCCAGACCTTTTTTCCTCTAAGGGCATTCAAAGAATCCAAAAGGACCCAAACAATCCATGGTGCATTTTCTCTGTAGCAACACAGCAAATTGCACTCCCTGCCTGCTTGGTGTCTATATAGATTTAGCAAACATAACCCATATATCTCTATTTGATCTACATCTTTACTGCATTATCAAATAATACTATAGGCAGAATAGCTACCCATTGAAATGCTTCTCAGCACCTCCTTCTGTTTTAACATTGAAAAATTATGATTTTCTAAGCAATTTTGCATGCGCCCATGATGGTTTAATCTCGATAATTTGCCCAAACTTGCTTCAAATGTTACTGATCTCTTTGTGGTCTCAAATGTTTAGCTTGGTTATTTGCAGCATTTCCAATTTCTGTTGGTTATAAACTAACAGGCAGCCTTACAGAGCAGAATATGGGAAAAGAAAAAAGCTGAAGAATATGATCTTGAGACATCCAGAAAAGCTGCAAAGAACTCCTTTGGGAAGAGCAAAGCAATCATTTGAGGTAGGAAAATTAAAAGCCTCCACATTTGTTTTGGCAATTATTTGGAAAACCAATGGAAATGTTTAATTATTAATGGCACCAGCTAAACATAATTGTCTTCCCAATAAATCAGGATAACTCTATTGTAAAAAATAAACATTTGCAGTTATCCTGTATTGAGTAACTGTTGCCACACTGCAATATTAAAAAGTGACAAACTGGAAGGTGTTGGTATGGTATATAAAGTTCTGTGATTATTTTAATTTTTGTTTTCCCACCCTATGAGAAGAACATGGGCTTCACACACTGGTTTTGGCTTAGGGAGCACTTACTGGAGTCCCTGTAGAATATAATTCACATCATGATCAAACAAAACCATTTTATTTTTTTAATGAGCTCACTGAGCCAAGATGACTACCATGTGCAGATAGCAAAAGCATAGAGGTTTTTTGGTGTTTTGAGGTATTTTTTAAAGTTCATAATAATTACTAATGGTCTTTCCTGCAGCTTTCATGGTAGTTATGTGCACAGCCATACATTTTATAGTACAGTTGTTCATTATTACTGGTAAAAAACTCTACAGAGTTACATGAAACAACCACCTGGGCTGCAGGGTAGTATAAAAATTTCTACATTAGTGTTTTATTTCTCTGTACTCTATGTTATTCACTGCTTATTCCCATTCTCCATCCTATTAGATGTTTTTATCTTCATAATATTGTGCTGTTTATTTATTTGTTTTCATTCTTAATTGCTTTAATAGTCATTATCCCTTCAAATTACCTAAATTTTGACTTATATTTCCCTTTGAAATGATGTAAGAATTTATGGGAATTTGTTTCCTTGCACTGTTATTTTTCTTAGCATTAGAGGGAACTGAATCTGCTTCAGGTTGCAGAAATGCCATGTATACCCAGAGCCCTCCCCTGTCAAGCTGGCTCAGGGCAGGAAATCCTCCTTCCTCTGCAAGGATCTGATTCCTTTGAGTCTGATTAAGAGCATCAATTTGGATTACTCAAGTGCTTAAACACCAGCATTCATTTATTTTCTTCTGAATCTGAAGTAAGAGATTCTGTAGATACAGCCAACAGGATCCATAGAAGGGGTAAAGGAGCCCAAATTCTGGCTCTGAAGTTGGCAGAATGAGTCAAAGTCTTTGGAAAGACTGACAGAAAGTTTCCTGCAGTCAATGGAAACGCATTCTCCACAATGGCCTTTGCATCACAGCACAAATACTGAAACAATAACACTCGATGTGAAGGAAAGAAAATATCTCAGCACTGCAAGAGGAACTCCAAACTGTTCTAACTCGTACAGCTTTTTGAAAGGCTGCCCAATTCTCACTGACAAAAGGCAGTGATACAAGTAAGTGGCTCTACAGAAACACATCTTATTTTAAATCAAAGCAGATGAGTCATCTGACAATCTAGCTGTTGTGAAACAAAAAGAGAAATGAGAAAATTGTGTCAGTTCATCACTTGATGAGATTTTGTTTCATGTATTTTATTTTCAATTTCTGATTACCTCTGTTATTTATGTTTTTATAGACGGATTTCATTGGCTTACAGGCTGATTTTTAAAGACAAAATTCTAAATTACAATTAAGTTGAAACTGGATTTGCTTAAAAACAAACAAGAGAAGGAGGAAGAATTTCCTGTGTAATGGCTGACAGCAAAATTGTTTGAAGTAATGGGGTCCCATTTAAATACCAAGAACTTGGCAGACCTAGGAGAACTGAATTTGCATAGGCTATGAAATCTTAGGCGTACTTTGGAAGCTTGCTGGAGAGCTTCACAGAATATAAAACTTTCTGGCATTGCTACAAATCTTGATGAATTAATAGGAGAAAGCAGAACACTGCTCACAACTAATTTTCTTTTCCTGGTATGAGGTCTTCTTCTTTCTCCGTCTCCCCCTGCTCCACATTTGGTGCCAAATCTTCCCTCTGTGCCCCTCTGTGCCTCCCAGTGAGCAATTCCCACTGATTCAGGAGATGCCTGCTGGTGAAGGCACAGCTGATCAACGTGGCTTTTTCTGCTGCCAAACTCCAGCCAATGAGCTATTCATGGCTTCAGTCCCTGTTTCTGTTCATTAGGCCACTGGGAATTGCATGAATCATTTTCATTCCCTGCCGGGAAGCAATGCCAGTGTTTACTATTACTTATGCAAAATAATTTTCCAGAATCACTTTACAAATGCTGAATGCTCGGTTGACTTATAAAAACTGAAATGAATTAATAAGAAATAAATAAGCAGTCCCAACTGCATGGGATATCAGTTTTATGCACAAGATGAGAAAAAGGCTTATATATTTCCACTAAGCTGGAATTACAATAACCCCC